TTGCCTCAATACATTTCCTGAGATTCATGGAGTGCTGGAAACTCAGTCTCCTTCACTCATTTCAATTTGGACATAATTCTATCTTTACTAGGCAGGCCAGTTACTGGACCCAAAAGAAAAATAAAAATTTTTTTTGAGTAGAATTGCAGCCAAGCCTTTGTCTCAAAGCTGCAGGGCGGTGGCCAAGGTGGACTGGAGTGCACAGAGTCTGCCATGCCAGCACGGGCCTGAGGTGGGGCAAGTAGTGATGAGGCAAGCCAGGGCACTCCCATATGTCACCCATGGTGGCACTGCCCAGTCAGTGCAGCACCTGCCCCACACAGTGCTATAGCCCTGAACCCCCAGGATCCATGACCCGCCACCTCAACCTCCTACTTCCCCACGAGCAGCAAGAAAACAGTAGTGGGGCCGACCAGATTGGAAGTTCAGGCTCAAGGGTTAACCAGTAGTGTTAGCGGTTTTCCAAACCCTGATTAGCACTGGCCCAAGTGCTACATAAACTAGCGCATTCAGGGAGCAAATCCCATGGGAGTCCCCTCTCATCCCTTCGAGAGCCCTGTTTCTATTCTTCACACTTGAATAAATCCTACTTCTTTCACTCTGGCCTTCCTGCTGCCCCATGAATTTTATCCTTTGGATTCGTGAGACGAGACCCAGAAGGAAGCTGGAGGTGAGCCGCTGGGGTCTGTTGCAGCACTGGAGGGCAGAGGCCACATGAAGAGCAGCCACACACCACTCAGTGGTAGTGGAGGAGAACTGGGCTTTGTGGCTGTGACCCTCAGAGCTGCCGCTGAAGCAGAGACTGAGTTTCAGCATGCTGCGTCAACAGGCGTACAGGGGCCAGCAAGTGGAAGACGTTTCTTAGCTCTGTGCCAAAGCCCATGTGTCAGTCTTAACCACAACGAGCTTTCAGGTTATACTTTTAATTTGCAAAACTAGCTATAAATAAAATATTAAGTCAATCAGCAGCAGGGCAGACACTGATCTAGATTCTGAGAGGCAGCAAATACCTGGTCAGGCAGAGGCTCTGTCAGGCAGAGGATTCTGTTCATTTTCCTCCTCAAGGGTTTTAGCGGAGGAATGCCAGGGTCTTATTTGGGTTTTAAATGACTATCCTGGCTGCTGGTTTGAGAATTAATTTAAGGTAATTGTCAACTGGGAAGCCAACTGGGGGAAATTGTGGTACATGTTCTCAGGAGAGAGAATAGTTGAATATGGGAAAGGATCTATCTGTCTGTCTGTCACACTTTGCATATGGTTTGCATGTGTCCCCACCCCAAAGGTTCCCACGCTTGATTTCCAGTGTGACAGTGTTGAGATGGTGGAACCTTTAAAGGGTGGGGCCTACTGCAAGGTAATTAGGTCATGGAGGCACCCCATATTTGCAGAGTGGGTTAGTTCTCATGGGAGTGAGTTGTTATGAAAAGAGCAAGCCTAGCTTCTGAATCCCTCTTTCTCGGTCTCACCATGCACCATGTGATCTCTCCCTCTCGCATGTGCTTCCACCATGAAATCATCCACTATGTTTTGATGTAGCCAGAAGGCCCTCACCAGAGCCAAATACATGTCAGTGTTATGCTCTTGAACTTCTGAACTGTGATCTAAATAAACTCCTTTTATTAATAAGGCACTCAGCCTCAGGTGTTTTATTATAGCAACAGAAAATGAACTAAGTATCTATCTATCCATCCATCCATCCATCCATTGCTTATTAAACACACACATCACAACTCTAATTGTCTTATTTGCCAAATGGAGTTCTGAAAGTACAGAGGGCCAGTTCAGCCTTCCCTTGCAGTAGTTGCAGACCTGCATCCCTCCCATCTTTAGGCCTGAACTGTGCTCAGCCCCATTTTTTAGAAGCCTCCTTCGCCTGGATATATATATATATATATATATATATATATATATATATATATATATATATATATATATATATTTTGTCTTATTGGAGGCCACCAGACCCTGCAGGAACCAGAGATAATCCTGATGAAGAGAGAGGCAGGCTTGCAGCTGAAAATCCTTCATTCCTGGAGATGCCCAAGGTCCACAAGAAATGGCTATGAAAGTCCTGCTATCCTTCCTCGGAGGACAGTGGCCATGCTGCTTCCTCTCTGTCCGAACTTGGTTTATGGTTTTAACTTCTGAGGGTTCCTCAGCCAGCCCCAACAAGGCCCTCTAGGCCCACAGGAGTCCTGGGCTGAAGCCTGCTGAAAGGTCTAGTCCTAGCACTGCCTTCCACTTAGGGTGGAGATATCTAGAGCAGCACAGTCTGTGCACAAACCAGCAGAGAAATGCGAGCACATGGAACGTATGAACCGTGACCACAAAAGAGACGCTGCAAGTTTCCAGTTCAGCAGCATCCCTCTTCATGGAACGAAGGCAATTTACATTTTTCTGACTATCAGCTGCCTTCTGAAGGTGAAGAATCAGGTGGCCTTATCTCGACATCATCATCACGAGATGGATGTTTTCTCAATTCCCTCCCACTACATAGGAAATGCTGTGAAGTACTTGACCATGAACCTGGTCCTACTGGTACTAACTTAGGATCAGGACTTAGGATCAGGTAGGAGGGTCTGCTTGCTGGATTCCTGCTAGTGCATCCTTTGACACTACCTAAAAGCTTGTCTGGGTATCACTTTGCTACAGATGCTACTGCCAGAGGTCACACTATGCTCTGGTGGCCCCAGAAGCTCCGTGCTTAGCTTATTTATTTGGGACTGACTTCTAGGTCTGTCTTTCAGTGCCGGCAGCCTGGTTCGGACTTCAACCCCTGGGTTCAACATTACTCAGATTGTGGGTTTTAGGTGAAGCCTAAACTGCAATGTTGAACTTGGAATGTGAACCTCCCATCTGTGCTTAAGCCGTTCATGGGAAGTTGTCTTTCCTGGGATTGCTCGATAACATTAGCTTTGAAGTAAAATGCTTACCAAGGCAAAGCTCATGTTGTAAATATTTACATCATGTTTCAATACTTCAGAAGCTTAAAAAAATGCCAGGGGCTAGCAGTTCTGAGAAGCAGAGTTTTGCTAAAAACAGAGGTACCACTGGTGTGCTTCATCCTTTCTCTCCCAGACCAGAGTTGCAGGTGGGCCCTTGGCCATGGCGTGGTCACGTCTGGTCCTGAGATCCCTCATCTTTTACCCAGTGCGCTGCACAGAGGTTTGCATATTCTACATACGATATCTGCATGCGTGATCCTGGACTGTGCAGGCCAGCATGCCCAGTATTTCAGGAGGCTGCAGGAAGTTACTCTATGACCTATCCCCCTCAGCTAAATTTGTCACTTCTCCAGATTTCCGCTCCTGCTGATGTTTGCCTAGGCCTGCCAGAAGACAAGTCCTTCCCCCAGCTGGAGGACTGCTACAGCTAAGTTCACAGATCTATAGTCCGTGGCACACCTGCTCTGGGTTCTGGGATCAACACGCCCTGGCATGACGGCTTTGGGGACGCCTGAATTAGGAAAGCCTGTGAGTTTAGAAAGAAATCCTGGAAATAGACTTCTGGCCACAGCAAGTGTGACTGGTCAAGAGCCGGGAGAGCACTCCATGAAAAAGGAGACATTTCTTTTTCTGGCTTCTTGCCATCACTTGGAGGGGATCTGGGTCAATTGAAGTGTTGCCACTGGAGTCTCTCATTGCCAAGGGTAAACAACTAGGGTGGGAGTTAGGAGGGCAGGGTCTTATGCAGGCTGCACTTTATACTGTTGTGGCTTTGATTAGCTTCCATAAGAACCAATAAGTTGTTTGGTTAGTATGTTTTTCATGCTGTGCACAAAGGATAATAGAATTTCAGAGGTGGAATGAAGACTCTTAATTTTCTAAATCAGCACTACATTTTAAAGGTGAAATGACTAAAGTTCTGGAGGTTAAAGGTGTCCCTCACTCGGTGCAAACCTGTAGCATTTGCTATGCTTAGAGTGGGAGGGAAGGATCTCTCCCATACAGTCCCGACGTGAGCTTGGTACAGACATCTTCCCAGCAGGATAGAATTTTGAGTGCTGCATTTTGAGTTCAGATGTTGGAGCCTGGATGTATGTCCCATTTTTGCTTAAATGTCTTTAGAAGACTTTTATTTTGTAGAGTTCTTGAGCAAATGGATTAAAGGATGCTGAATCTGTATTGCATACATCTCTCAAGGGGTAATGGGATATAAATGAATTGCAAAAGCAATAAATAAGCTTATGCTGCCTGTGCCAGGGAGACAAACAACTGACTCTTCCATTACTGACTCCCAACCCACTCCACCCTTTCCATAATACAAAGAATGGCCATTTATCCAGCTGCCATTGAACCAGGTGCTGTGCACTCATGTCCAACACTTGCAGTAACCCTGTGTAATAATTGTTTAAAACATCCTGTGTAAAAAGATGTTTGTAATAATTTCTATTACAAACATCTCCAAGTTAGATGGTTCAGCTTATTGTTTTTAAGTCTGTATAATGGTTTAAAAGTGACACACATTCAGGAAAAACTGTACTTTAAATTTTACATTTTAGCCTTTTCCTGGGCTCTTGATAAAAGATAACCATTCACTTTTTTTCCCTTTTGAGTACAAGTATTCAATAAATTATGTGAGCTATCAACATTTTATTATAAAAAAAGCTTTGCATTCCATGATTTTGCCTGGCCATAGGCTAATGTGAGTGTTCCAAGCACCCTGAAGGCAGGCGAGGCTGTTATGATGTTAGGTAGGTGAGGTGTGTTCAGTGCTTATGATATTTCCAACTTATGATGGATTTATTGAGACGCAGACCCAAGGTAAAACAAGGTTCTTCTGTGTGTCCCGTTTCACAGATGAGGAAACCGAGCTCACAAATGTTAAGTAACTTGCTCTAAATCACACTGCTTGGTCAGGGTGGACTTCTAATTCAGCTGATTCCAAGGATAAAGACATGGATCTACTTTTCAAGGTTCAATTACAGCAGTGTGACCCACCCTCCAACTCTCTGCCAAAAATGTCCCCTAATGTGCCAGTGAAGTTGTACCCTTGTCTACCTGCAAAACTCTCCTTCCGACTCAGGCAGCATCAGCGAGGCCATGGGGTTCTTCATCAGATCTGCCACCACAGGGTCCTTGGCTGTCATATAGAAGAAAGGAATTCCAGTACTGTTGTCGAAGGGACCATCACTGATGGGCAGGCAGTTCCCAAACGGCAGTCCTGGGATCTAACAAACATCACATAAAAATAAATAAATAAAATAAAGTTATTGTGTCCAACTACAACTAAAATATAAATATTTAAAAAATCAAAAGAGTCTTTTTCAATGGCAGAATTGTGGATTGATGTGAGGTGTGAGCCTGTCTAGGAAATACAGCACCAAGAACTGTGTGTGTGTGTGTGTGTGTGTGTGTGTGTGTGTGTGTGTGCGTGCAGGGTGGGGGGGGAACCATGACCTCACAGTGAGTTTGACAAGGAGTAAATTAAGGCCAGGTGGTACCAATCTATCCACATCACCTCGTGCTGGCTTCAGGATTTCTCTGTGATGCTTAGCTGTGACATTCTGTTCGAAAGTTAAAGAATTATTCTTGAAGCTGCCTATGAATAGCAAACAGAGTCACTTTATTGAATGTAATTTCTTTGGGGGAGGGGCAGTGAAATTTCTGGGGGTGTGAGTGGTGCTGAGCCTTTCTTCAAACTTCCTCTTAACTGCCTTTTTGGCAACTTTGGGAATAGAATTTAATTCTTCACTTTAATATCTTGCTTTCTGTTTGAACACCAGGAACATTCTATTATGGTTTCTTTCGGGGCTATACAGTTTTCTCATTCACTGATTGCTTTTTTATTGTAATCAGTAACATTTCATTATATAACTCAGCAAGTTATGGGGAAAATGATGCAACCATTTTAGCATAAAGGAAGTCACAGTAATATGATATGCCAGTTTTTGTTCGTGATCATAGAGTGGGTGAAGGGTAGTGTATCATGTTTCTGTGACTCAGATATAGACAAAAATATTTAAGTCTTAGGTTTTCCCAAACCCTACTGGTGTAGCATCCCAATCTTTCTTTATTCCTTAAAGTACACCTCTTTGTTCCTTGGCTCAGAACTCTAGGACTATCTTTGTCTTTGAAGTGTTGCAATGGGGTGTAAAATTGTAGAAGGAAGAATTGTAATGGTTTAAGCATATAAAATGCTAAGGACCCCCTCTGAAATGGTACCATAATATCATTTACAGATGGCGTCTTCAGCATGTCATAAACGGCCCAGCGTCATGTTTTACATGCATGCAAATGTTTTCTGAATTTATTAAGTTTGGGTTAAATGTCAATATTGGAAAAGGCTAGGATAGATATTTGGTTGGAAGTAAAAATATCTTTAATACATTGGCACTATACTTTCATTCGAAAAGATTTGTTTTAAACAAAGACTAGTTTTATATTTAAACTTTGTATTTTCTTAAGCTGTGTTTTAGGAGTGAAGCTATAACCATGAAAACTCATTTGTATGCTGGGCATATCCAACCGGCTCAGTATCTGACACAAAAGGGGTTCAGATCATTGTCCTATGGATGTCATTTAGATTTTCTTTTTAAGCAAAAAGGACCTTCAAAACTGCCTAGTCAACGTCTTAATTTTATAGATGAGGAAAGCAAAATGGAGAAGCCAGTGACTTGGCCGCATGGAAGCCATAGAGACCCAGAGCTGGGTCAGGATTTCTAGGCGATGCCCATTGCATCTTAAAGATGTTAATTATTTTTTGCATGAAGTAAATAGAGTTCAAAATACTGCCCTGCAATAAAACATTGACCTGCACCTGAAGGGCTCCAAAGCCTTTCTGAGGCTGTATACTTATGGAAGTTACATTCTTATTTCTTATTCCTTGGCACTGCAGGGACAATCTTATCTAACAGGTGAACCAAACTTGTTTGGACTGAACCATAGAAAATACAGCCTACGACAGCTCATTCCAGCATTTACACATCTGCGTAAGTCTTCTTTCCAGAAAAAAATTTATCAAGTTTCATTTTTGTAAATTTGAATTTCCATCAAAGCAGCGGTAGGGTTTTTCTCCCCATCCCCACTGGATTCCATGTCAGTGGATGATGGGGAAGACTCTCTGCTCCGTGAGCCCGCAGGGGCTGTTCCTGCCAACTCCGCTGTTCCAAGGTTCTGACTCCTTTTGTCCGACGCCCCTTTATTTTTCTTTGGCCATCTCTGGGCAGGGATTTAGTCCCCAGCCATCTGGCACGAAGCCTGGTTTCCGTGCCTCCCCCACACCCGCTCCCACACTTTGCCAGTCTGACCCGCCCAGGCACAGTCTGGTTCCGTTATTTGCAAGGCGTCTACAGCCCAGGGCAGCCCACTGGGCACGTCTGTCAAACCCAGGTCCGAGCACCCGAGGGGTCTCCAGCATCTCCCCGGCTCCTGGGCGCGCCGCCTACTCGCCAGGCCACCGCATGGGGGGCCAGCGGGGGTGGCTTACCTTCTCGTGGGCGGACACGGTGGCCAGACAGCCCCAGGCGCTGGCGTGGGCCAGGGAGCGGGCGGTGCCAGCGCGCAGTCTCGGGTCAGGGGGCGCCCCGGCAGCAGGGCCGCTTTCCCGCCGGTAGGAGAACATCCCCGGGGGCGCCGGGGGTGGCCTGGCGCGGGCAGCCCCGGCCCCGGGCCGCAAGTGCGCGTCCTCCTTGTGAGCCGAGGCGGGGAAGCTCCGCTGCCAGATGCTGCTCGAGTCCTCCAGCAGCGCGGGCAGCGCTTCCTCGGTGGAGGCGCTGTCCAGCTCTTCATCCACCTCGTTGGTGACAGCCCAGGACACGGAGCTCACGATCACGTACCCGGCGGCTGGGGACAGCAGGGCGCTGCAGCACAGCAGCCAGGAGAGGCGGGTCCCGAGCCGCGCGGACCGCTCGCCCCGGCGCACGGACATCTTGCAGGCAGCGAGCCTGGCCGCGGGGACCGCTGGCAGCGAGCTCGCGGCCGGCCAGCACCACAGCGCCCTCCCGAGGCGGAGAAGAGGAGCGGAAAGCCCTGCTGACCGCCGCAGGATTCCTGGGTGGGGTCCCGGGGCTAGCCCCAGGGGTGCCCTCACAGCCCCACGCCACTTAGAGACCGAGGTTCCTGGAAGACCACATGCCACCCAAATGCTGCGAGTACGGCCGCCGCAGCCGCAGGGCACAGAGTCCTGATCGCATGCCGGGTCCCGGGGTGGGTTCGTCTTCTGCAGGATGGATAGGTCACACTCCTCTGCTCCACCGCTGGGTGACCCTGCCAAGTCACTTAACTCCTCCGGGGACCATTGCTTTCATTAGAAAATGAAGACGGTATCTCAACGGCATGATGGATGGGAGGGTTAACTTATTTAATATATTGAACAGGCTCAGAACAGTGTGTGACACGGAGCCAACTAGGTATTTTGTTAACTGAACCCAAGGTAGGAATTTTATCTCCATCTTATTAGACAAAGAAAGCCGAGTAAGCAGTGGGAGAGACTGACAGCGATTCTGCCTAATGCCAAAGCTCATTTTCTTTCTAAGGACAATGACCGTCTTACACTTTTGCTCTGTCTCGCGGGCCTTGCCCCCAATTAATCTCAAAGCAGAAGCAAGTTGTTCACATCTAAGCTAAAGGAAAGGGGAACTACTGTCCAGGTGATGGGTAGAGTGGGAAAATAGTTGTATTAAAGTATTATTCTTATAGTTTGGATGTGGTTCGAGCGTGTCCCCCAAGGCTTTATGTGTTGAAATTCAATTCCCATTTTGAGGTATGATAAGGGTGGAGACATGATCCAGTTGTGTTTAGGCAGTGGGCCCTTTGAAAAGTGATTGGAATTGAAAAGTCCTCAGGGTAGAGTTCTTCCTCCCATGATTGAATCCTTGTGGTTTTATAAGAAGAGGGAGAGAGACACCACACACACACACACACACACACACACACACACACACACACTCTCCCTTTCTCTTGCCATGCAATGCTCTTGGTCACCTCAATACTGCTAGCAAGAAGGCCATCACCAGAGTGGCTACTGGTCCTTGCTCCTCCATTACCTTGAGCTAAAATAAGTCTCTCTTTTTTTTAACTTATCTAGTCTGTTGTACCTAGCCTTTCCTTTCTGTTCTCCATTCCCTTCCTGAGTAATTCCGTCTACTCCCATGGCTCCCACTTTCTAACTTTCTGGCTCACACTCTTCCCCTGTCCTACCTGTGGAATATATATATATATTTTAATACCAGGGACTGAACCCAGTCGCATTTTACCACTGAGCACCTCGCTAATTTTCCCTGAACTTGTAACCCTCCTGCCTCAGCATCCCAAACTGTGGGGATTACAGGTGTGATCCTCCATGCCCAGCCTCGGAATGATGTCACAGTCTTGAGAGAAGCAGTATAGTAAGTCATGAAAAGCATGGGCCCTGACTCAAGAAAGTATTTTGTTAACTGAACCCAAGGTAGGAATTTTATCTCCATCTTATTAGACAAAGAAAGCCGAGTAAGCAGTGGGAGAGACTGACAGCGATTCTGCCTAATGCCAAAGCTCATTTTCTTTCTAAGGACAATAACCATCTTAACCCATCCTACCCTGTCACCTCCTCGATGAATGATAGTGGTACATCATTTGACCCCTCTGTCTTCACTGTCTTGTCAAGAAAGTGCAGATATGTGACTGCCATGTCCTATCTGTGACTAAGACAGTAATCTTAAGAGTTATGCAGGAGTCTTATTTGGTCAAAATTTCTTACTAGATTTATCTCTATTAAGCCTTCTGATACTTTCCCAGTTAGATCCAGACTTGAAGGGGATTTAAGAGAGTGAACAATAATCACCTTCCAAACCCACCATATATCATGAACCAAGTGCACGCTCAATACATGGCAGACATTTTTATTCGCCTTTTGGCTACTTATCCCAAATATCTAACAGGTCACTCAACTTTTAGGAGATAGTTTTCCAGAGATTTCTTAAACTGATAGAGTTCAGACTTGTTTGAATAGTTTTGAAAAGCTAGAGATTGTGTATCGTTTAGGAGAGATTCAGATACCTACTTCCTTAAACCTATATGTTAGTCAAGATATGGGTGTGACTGTGTTTAATGTTATTACGTGAAGTCAAACTGATTTAGAAATTGATTATACCAACAGCTACTATCAAGTATGAGAGTTCCTGTTTTTCCTCATTTTTATCAATGTAGATTATTGTTAGGTTTTTAAAATTTTTATTCACAACCCCCCCAAATCTGGTGGATAAGCAATGGTGTCTTCTTTTTATTTTAATATGATTTACCTGATGACCACTCTAGAAGGTCACTTTTCTAATTTATTGGCCATTTTAATGTCTTTTGTTGATTACCTATTAATGTCTTTTGCCTATTCATTTTTACCATGGTAGAAACACATCAGATGAATTCTCAACTATGTGCACAGCATTAAACAGCAGATCCTAGGATTGTTTCATCTTGCAGGACTGAAACCATTTCCATCCAACAGTAATTCTCCATTCCTTTTTTGTATGGCTACTGAGAGCCAATACTCTACTTTGTCTTTTTATGAATTTGACTTCTTTAGATACCTTAGATAAATGTAATAATGCAGTATTTGTCCTTCTGTGACTGATTTATTTCATTCAGCATTTTTGTAACATTTACCCATGGAGCAGCATAAGACAAATTCCTTCTTTTTAAAGGCTAACATTCTTGTATACCACATTTTCTTTACCCATATACTTGTTGTCTATGTATACTGCATTTTCTTTACCCATTCATCACTAGTGAACATTTAGGTTGTTTCCATCTTGTAACTATTGTGAATAAGGCTGCAAAGAACCCGGGAGTATGAATATCTCCTCCAGATTCTGTTCTCCAATACACTTTGGAATGATAAGTTAACCTTTGAAGAAATCAGAGGAGAAATTTAAAAATTCTTAGAATCAAATGAGTATAAAAATACAACTTATGAGAACCTGTGGGATACATTGAAAGCAGTTCTAAGAAGAAAGTTTAGAGCTAGGAATGCCTACACTTTGGTGGAAATGTGAATTAGTAAAGCCACTATGGAAATCAATTTCCTCAGCAAATTAGCAATGGAATCACCATATGATCCACCTATATAATTCATCAGCATACTACAGTGATACATGCATATCCACGTTTATTATAGTACAATTCACAATGGCACAATAGCCAAGTTATGGAGCCAGCCTAGGTGTCTGTCAATGGATAAACAAATCCCCCCCACCACACACAAATGGGAGTTTTATTCAATCATAAAGAAGAATGAAATTATGTCATTTTCTCAAAAATAAGTGGAAAGGGAGAATATCATTTTAAGCAAAGTAAGTCAGATTTAGTCATTCTACTCAGGGGAGAGCAGTCTCTTCAACAAATGGTTCGCATGTTTTCTCTCATATGTGGAAGCTAGAGAGAAAATAGGAGAAAGGGAGGAAGATCTCATGAAAATGGAAGGGAGGTCAGTCAGTAGAAGAAGGGGATGAGGCCAGAGGTAGGAATGGAGGTACTGGGAAATTAAATTGACCAAATGATGTTATGTATAAATATGCCACAATGAAACTATAATTATCATGCACCAATAAAAAAATTTAAAAGGGGGGGCAGAATATCCTGCTCTTAATTCTCTTGAATAAATAAATATACAGAAGCTAGATTGTTGTACCTTATGGCAATCCTATTTTTGAGCGATCTCTACATTGTTTTCCAGGGCTACCATGCCATTTTGCATGCTTACTAACACAGGGTCCAGCACTTGTTATTTTCTGGGATGTGTGTGTGTGTGTGTGTGTGTGTGTGTGTGTGTGTGTGTGTTGTTTTGATTTGCATTTCCCTGATTCATTAATGATATGAGCATCTTTTCATGCATCTGTCGGTCAGTTGTTTATCTTCTTTGGAGAAAAACCCATTGAGTTCTTTGCCCATTTTGAAATGAGGGTTTGTTGTTGTTATTGAGTTGTAGCATGGAATTTTCTTCTATTTTTTTCTATTTTGTGCTTTGTCTATTTCTCTTCATTATCCTTCCTTCTACCAATTTTATACTTTGGATTTTCATCTTTTGCTAGTTCCTTGAGTTGTAAACTTAGGTTTTTTGATCTTTCTAAATATAGATGTTTGCTGCTATAAATTTCTCTTGATACTGCTTTTGCTGCATCCCGTAAGTATATTTTATTTTATTTCATTTTTGTCTCTGCTACTGTTGTTAGTTTCATCTCTTTGTGGTATAATTTCAATATTTTTTAAGTTGTTAAAGCTTGTCATGCGACTTACCATGTGATCTAGTCTGAAGAATATTCTGTTTGCTTGGGAAGAAGGTGTGTTCTACTGCTGTTGGGTGGATCTACATATGTCTGTTATGCTTGATTGGTCTATAATGTTGTCCAAATACTCTGTTCTCTTATCGATCTGTCTGGTGATCTATTATTTAAAGTGGTGCATTTAAATCTCCTATTATTGTTGTTATTATTATTTATTTCTCTATTCAGGTTTTTCTGTTTTGGTTTTTGATGTTGTTTTTTTTTGTTTTGTTTTGGGCATCGCTGGGACTGAATCCAAGGCCTCCTAAATAGTAAGCACACCCTCGACCACTGAGGTACATTCTCAGTCCCTCCTTCAGTTTTGTCAGTACTTACTCCTTATATTTGGGTACTCTGATGTTGAGTGCGTATATATTTATAATTTTTCTATATTTCTGGTTAATTGATTCTTTCAATATTATATAATATCCTTTGTTTCTTGTGACACTTTTTTAAAAAAATATTTATTTCTTAGTTGTACACAATACCTTTATTTTGTATATTTATTTTTATGTGGTGCTGAAGACCGAACCCAGGGCCTTGCACGTGCTAGGCGAGCGCTCTACGGCTGAGCCACAGCCATAGCCCCCTCTTGTGACACGTTTTGACCCCAAAATCTATTTTGTGTCATAAAAACAGTTTCTCTTTTGGCTACCATTTGCATGAACTATCTTTTCTATCTTTTCACTTCTAGTCTATGTAAGTCCTTAGGTCTAACTTTAGTCTTTAATAAACAGCATGGTTGGATTTTTTTCTTAAGTCCATTTACTGTTTTTTTTTTTTTTTAAATTGGGGGGTTTAAATCATTTACATTTAAAATTGTTATGAAAATAAAGAACTTACTACTGCCATTTTGTTCCT